AAAAATCTTATATATATGTATGTGTGTGTGTGTGTGTGTACACACACACACACACACACACATACACACACATATACATACATACACATACACACACACATACATATATTGAGCAGTGATACTTAGCAGAAAAACAACTGATACAAAAGAAAAGTCATTATTTAAAAATGGTTTCATTCTATGGTGAAACATCTTCTAAAATTGTTGAGCTATGTAACATTGCCACTGGATAATGGAAGAACAATCTAATCTGACTATAGCATTTTAACTGTTTTTAATACATATTTTGATTAGCAATAATAATATTAGAGTAATATACCAACAAAAAAACACACATACCTTTTTCTGAGTACAATATTCACAGTAAATTTAATATTTTTTATTTTATTGATAGTTGCATATTAAGTGTCCTGCTTAATTTCTATATCTATTTAATCATACAACTTTTGACTTTTTCATTTTCTAAATCATTTCAGTAATTACACACACACAAGTTCCAATAGATTTTTGAGTTCTGTGCTATATACATTTCAAAGTCAGTCGAACTCCTAATTATATGATCTTATTTTTGTAGATCCTTTGGAATTATACTACTTATAATTATGCCTCTCTTACTGTTCCAAATAGAATCTTAAAGAATGTTTAATGAGTGTTAAATCTTGCTTTCTTTATAAATTATTTTTTTACTTATAAAATAGTTAGCATATTTGACTTTATGAAAATAAATAGTTTGGTATTAGGACAAGAGGTAATAAATCTATTTTTCTTTTAAATTTGCCCCTTATTTTTAATAGAGTATAATTGAATGGCCTGTTATACAATACAATACATTTCTTTTTGTAGCAGACCTGGATATATGCAAGCCTTTTGAAAGCTCTACTTCTTCCATAGAAATATTGAACTACATGGTATTATTCAATCTGTGGTCAAATTTAACTGCTTGATAATAAGGAAGTCCTCAACTTACAACAGTTCATTTAGTGACCATTCGAAGTTATAATGGCACTGAAAAAAGTGGCTTATGACCGTTTTTCATACTTATGACCATTGCATTATCCCCATAGTCATGTGATCAAGATTCAGACGCTTGACAAATGACTCATATTTATGACAATTGCAATGTCCCAGGGTCATGTGATTACCTTTTATGTCCTCCTGACAAGCAAAGCCAATGGGGAAGGCAGTTTCACATAACAACTGTGTTACTAATTCAACAACTGCAATGATTCACTTAATGCCTATGGCAAGAAAGGTTGTAAATACGAGCAAAGTTCATTTAACAAAAGTCTCACTTAGCAACAGAAATTTTCGGCTTAGTTATATTTGTGAGTTGAGGACTACCTGTATAACTTAAAGTTTGATATAGCCAATCCATCTTGTTATTTTCCATATTGTAGAACCCTAAATTTAATTCTTTGCCATTTTAAAACTTGAATTATGCTACTCATTTGCTTTAGAATCATTCAGTATTTTTCTTCAATTCTTATTGAAGTTGTTACGAGGTATTTAAGGGTATATTACTTGCTATGTATCTCAAATTTCTCTAGTATTTTTCATTTAGTTTGCTATTTCACTACTATGAGTTCTAGCTGTAGGAAGAAAAAGGGGGAAGTTCAAAGAATTGCTTTTCTTGCCTTTAATAGGTGAGATCTGTTTTTCATCCATGACTTTATAGTGGACTTCAATACCTCAGGTGCCCTCTAACTGGAGGACTGGAGGGTTTTTATGCCTCCATGCAATGGCATTTAGCTTCCATATAATGTAAATAAATATAAAGTATACAAAGTAAGGGGATGCAGTGGCTCAGTGGCTAAGACGCTGAGTTTGTCGATCAGAAAAGTTGGCAGTTTGGCGGTTCGAATCCCTAGTGCTGCGTAACGGAGTGAGCTCCGGTTACTTGTCCCAGCTTCTGCCAACCTAGCAGTTCGAAAGCACATAAAAATGCAAGTAGAAAAATAGGGACCACTTTGGTGACAGCGTTCCATGTGCCTTCGGGGTTTAGTCATGCCAGCCACATGACCACAGAGACGTCTTCAGACAGTGCTGGCTCTTTGGCTTTGAAACGGAGATGAGCACCTCCCCCTAGAGTCAGGAAGGACTAGCACATATGTGCGAGGGGAACCTTTACCTTACCTTTAAGTAGGCTATGTATATTTTACAGATTCACAAGTTTCTTGTTCCAGAAAAAATGCGACACAGTCTATTTCATTGCATTTCTCCCGGAACTGTAGGGTGGATGGATGGTTTTCCATTGTGGAAATCCTGCTATAGCTCATCTCCCAGGTCTAAAGGTTCCCTCTTTCCGGCTGAAGTGAAGGAGCCATGAAGCCTAATTGCTGTTCTTTCACTTGTTGCCCTCAGTGCTGCCCCCCCCCCCCAATCCCCAGCCATAGCA